CCAAGAAAGAAGAGAGCTAGCAATGAGCGTGTCCTTTGGACCCAGGATCCCTGTGCTGACAACTTTCTAGACCCAAGAGACAGAGAGTTGTAAAATGAGATGACGAGAAAAAGCAGCAGAGAAATGGCGGCAGCAGAGGCAGCAGAACCAGAAGAGCAGCGGGAGACAGTGCAGTGGGTTTCCCAGACCACAAAGTGAGAAAGCTGAATTACTTTGTGGGGAGGCAGAATGAGGTGCCTCTGGGCACTTGACAAAGCTAGACTCACTGACCCATGCTTCCCGACCCAGAGAGCTAGAAAGCTGAGCGCCTTCAGGTGAGGCTTACTGTCAGAGTAGGGTTCCTCTGCATACTTAACTGTGACGCTAAAGAGCTTTGTGACACTAGCCTTAGATGGCACCTGGCAGGGCCCATCACTAGAGGACAAGAAGAAGAGGCTGTCCTAATCAAAGAACTGTATCATGATTCATTTCTTATCCTGAATTGTAACCTGTTATTTCCCTAATAAACCACATACTGGTGAGTATGGTCTGTGAGTTCTGTGTGGCAACTGCAACAAATTATCAAACCCAGAAGAGAAGGAGAGAGTAGTGGGAGGGACAGTTGGTGTCAGAATGGATAAAAAGATTGGAGAACAGAGGTATGTTTGACTTCTGCCTCATAGGAATCAGCTTGGAGTATTGCTGCTGATGGTGATTCTCCCCTCTCATGAAGTTAGAGGAGAGCGTATGTCCCCGCCATGTCTTTTTTTTTTTTTTTAAAAAAAAAAAAAAAAAACAGCATATCCGTTGGAGCCCGGTGGTACAGTGATTAAAGTGCTTGGCTGCTACCCAGAAGATTAACAGCTTGAACCCATCAGCCTCTCCATGGGAGAAAGATGTGGCAGTCAGCATTCATAAAGATTTATGGCCTTGGCAACCATATTGGGCACTTTTGCTTTGTCCCATGGGGTCTGTAGGAGTCAGAATGGACTTGACAGCAGTAGGTTTTTACCTAGTTAACTGACTTAATTTAGAGCTTTGACTGGAAAGTGAAGTCTTGCAAAAATGAAATTATTTAGGTTAAATGATTAGCTGGGAGGGATTAGATTAGCTTTCAAAATTGAAGGTAGCACTGTAAAAGTGTCTGCATCTTTGGGGACTAGAACTGCAACTCTGGACACTGACAACCCTAGGCCTACATGTTCATAGCTGGTGAACTAAGAAGGATAGGCTATACCTTCCTTCCTGAAAAACTTGAGAGCACTCTATTTGGCTTAGTTTATAGCTTGCAAGCTCGATGCTCCCCCCCCCCACCCCCATAGTATTAAATTAAACTATATGAAATTGCTGATATTCAACCATTTATTACCAGCAAAAAACATTTCATATGGTATGGGAGGAGAGAATGAGGCATCATAGATTGACAGCCCTGATAGGACTTCAAAGAAAAACGGTGGTGTTTGTAAGAGAAGAACTTTGTTACCTGAAGAAGGAAAATGAGAAAGCATCCTGGGCGGTCCAAAGTAATAGCGACCATAGTCTAACACACTTACAAAAAGAATGGATGAGCTAGAATTGGGGTAGGCAGCCATGGAAATGAAATAGGCCTCAAATATAAGAAACTTCTAAGGTAAGACACTGAACTGTTCTCACCAGTCTTTTCCATAGGTGTTTCAGGATTGGACAGATTTGTCTTTTATGTAACAGTTTTTCCCAAAGCTCTCAAGTTATACCTTTTGTACTTTGCTGTTAAATGTTAAGCATTTATTCAACATGTCTCAGGCACCTTCATTATAACAGCCCTCTTTAAAGATGAGGCTTAAAAAGATAAAGTAGTTTGGCTAAGATTATACAACTAATTAATATGGAGCTAGAATTTGAAGTCTAAATTCAACATAAAACACAACTTTTCATTCCATACCAGTACTTCACAAATATTGTTGAAATACCTCTAAAGACTGAAATATGTATATGTGTATTCCTGGAAGGTCTATAGGCATATATAATTAATCTTAATTAATATGGATTTTGGTAACTGTTCCACAATATAATGATGATTGTTTTGGTTTTTAAATGCTCAGGATGTGTGTGTGTGTATGCATCAAAGTGTGAATTAAATTGAATTTTTAAGAAGATGCGTGGCACATTATCGCATTATAATACCATTGGCAAATTATGCCTTGTTACCTGAGTGAGTGACCCAGTTTAAATTTCTCACTTTGGTTCAAACCACTCTTATTAGGTTAGTATCTAAAAAATTCCTTCAGTGTTAAGCCGAGGGTATTTCTGTTGTTGTTAGGTGCTATTGAGTTAGCTCCGACTCATAGTGACCCTGTGTCATACAAACAAAATACTGCCCAGTCCTGTGCCATACTCACAGTCTCTGCTATGCTTGAGCCCATTATTGTAGCCACTCTATCAGTCAATCTTGTTGAGGGTCTTCCCCCTTTTCTCTGACCCTCCACTTTACCAAGCTTGGTAATCTTCTCCAGGGACTGGTCCCTTCTGACAACATGACCAAAGTAGGTGAGACAAAGTCTAGACATTCTCGCTTCTAAGTAGCATTCTGACTGTACTTCTTCCAGGACAGATTTGTTCGTTCTTCTGGCAGTCCGTGGTATTACCAGTATTCTTTGTCAGCATTAAAATTCAAAGGCATTAATTCTTTTCTGGTCTTCCTTATTCATTGTCCAGCATTTCACAAGCATATGAAGCAATTGAAAATAACATGGATTGGGTTAGGCACAGCTTAGTCTTTTCTTTAAGGTGCGTCTTTGCTCCTTAACACTTCTGAGGGTCTTTTGCAGCAGATTTGCTGCCCAGTGCATCTGATTGCTTGACTGCCTCTGCCATGAGTATTGTTTGTGGATCTAAGTAAAAGGAAATCCCTGACAACTTCAGTCTTTTCTCCATTTATCATAATGTTGTTTATTGGTCCAGTTGTAAAGATTTTTGTTTTCTTTGTGTTAGAGTTGTAATCCATACTGAAGACTTTGGTCTTTCATCTTCATCAGTAAGTGCTTCAAGTCATCTTCACTTTCAGCAAGTAAGGTTGTGTGTCATCTGCATATTTCAGGTTGTTAATGATGATCAACCATTTTAATCACGATATCACATTCTTCATATAGTCTAGCTTCTTGGATTATTTACTCAGCATACACATTGAATAAATATGGTGGAAGGATACAACCCTAACATATGCTCTTGGTCTATGTACAGGTTCCTCATGAGGACAATTAAGTGTTCTGGAATTTCCATTCTTTGCAATGTTATTGACTCATAGTGATCCTTGTTGTGTTCCAAGGCTGTAAATCTTTACAGAAACAGACTGCCTCATCTTTCTTCTGCAGAGTGGTAGGTGTGTTTGAACCACCACCGTTTTGATTTGTGACCAAATGCTTTAATTACACCACCACACCACCAGGGCTGCTGCTGCTGCTGCTTTTTTTTTTTTTTTAAGTGTGTTTCTTACAGTCAGTTATTTCTCCCTGAATTTTCCTCATTTTAAAATGAATTTGCCATAATAGTTGATTTGTCTGTGTATTTGGATTCTTATTAACCCAACAAATAATGTGCTGTAGCTTTGAAAAACCAAACTCAGTGTCTTCAAGTCAATTCTGACTCATAGTGACCCCCATTGGGTTTCCAAGGTTGTAAGTCTTTATGGAAGGAGCTCTGCTAGTGTAATGCCTAAGGCACTTGACTGCTAACCAGAAGGCTGGCGGTTTAAACCCACCAGCCACTCCTCGAAAGGAAGATGGGGCAATCTATTTCCGTAGTGATACTGCTTCAGAAACCCAAGGAGGGATCGCTATGAGTCGGGTCCGGCCCGATGGCACATAACAACAACAACAAATCTTTATGGAAATAGACAGCCTTATTGTTCTTCTGTGGAGTGGCTGGTGGGTTTGAACCCCCGACCTTTTGGTTAGCAGCCAAATGCCTTAACCACTATATCACCAGAGCACCTTATAATATCTTTGAAAAAAGTTTGTAATTGCTATATTAGAGCTAAACATTATTTAAATAAAATAAGGAATGTATTATGTCTTTTTGTTGTTTTATATCTAAAGCAAATATTAAGTACGTTTTAATAGCAGTTGGACCATTGTGAGGAGAAAAGGAGTAGCCTTTGCCAATTACATGGCAGTACTGTCTTATGTGGGAGTCTGGTAGCGTAGTGCCTGAGGCGCTTGATTGCTAATCAGAAGGCTGGCAGTTCAAACCCACTAGCTGCTCCTGGGAAGGAAGGTTGGACAATCTACTTGGTAGTGATACCACCCCTGAAACCCAAGGAGGGGTCGCTGTGAGTCGGGTCCAACTCCATGGCACATAACAACAACAACACTGTCTTACATGATGTTATGGGCATTTTAATAGTGAAAGCACAGGCAAAGTGTGCTTTCTTATCATTGATGCAGAAGGTGATCCTGTAAAATTAATAAATTAAAAATTAATAAGAAAGGATTTGTACTCCTTTTATTTTCATAGAAAAGTATGATACTGATGTGGTAATTTAGAAGGATGCTTTGAATAGCTTGCTCTCTTACAAGTTCCCCGCTGTCTACAAAGTGATATGTTTAGGGGATATTTTGATAAGAAAACTAAGAGGATGGTATAAAAATGGAGAAATTTTAACTGTGAAGAATTTTTTCATTACTTTAATTATACCTTAGATATATTAGTTTTTATTTATTTATATTGTGATTTGGGTGAAAGTTTACAGAGCAAATTCACTTTCCATACAGCAGCTCACATACACTTTGTCTCATGATATTGACTACAATTTACCACAGTGTAACAGCTCCCCTCCCACTTCCTCCCCATAGTTAGTTTTAATTTTTTTAAAATTAGTTAAAATAGCTATGAAAATCTTTACAGAATTAATGTGTTAAATGAGAGACCCTCCCCTTTCCTCATCTTTTAAAAAAATTTAATCTGGTATAGTTCTCCTTTGTCATTGGATTCTTTTTAAAGCTGTTTACTTAAAAATATTTTTTTTCTTTTTTAACTTTTAATAGATGATAGTATTTCTGCTGCAAGTACTTCTGATGTTCAAGATCGCCTGTCAGCTCTTGAGTTACGAGTTCAACAACAGGAAGATGAAATCACTGTGCTGAAGGCAGCTTTGGCTGATGTATTGAGGCGGCTTGCAATTTCTGAAGACCATGTGGCCTCAGTGAAAAAATCAGTCCCAAGTAAAGGTAATTAAGTGTGCTGTTATATAGAAAGAGTTTTGCTTTTTTGCAACATTTTCTTTGTAATTAAAATATAAAAGTTAGGTTTTTGATCAGTGACATTAAAATTGTGAATATATATCAGTGAATATAAAAATATATTTTATTTTGGATTAACTGTGATTGTAGTTTGTTTTCTGCTTTCTTATTTATTCTCAAATTCTGAAAGTTTATTCTTCATTAGTTTTAATTGGGAATTTTTGTATTATCCCACTGATCTTTATTTCCATGCTTTTGTGTCACAGTATTTGTGTGAATTTAATATCTTCCAACTACAAAATAAGCTTACTGAGAACAGGAACTGAATCTTTTTTGTGTGTCACCCATAGTACTTCACATTGTAATTTGAACATAGAAAATAGGCACTCGTTTATATATATTTTAATCCCATTATCATTACACAAACATGATTAAAATCATTATAGTGCAAATAGTTTCAATTCTGCAGATAACCCTCTGGGGTTGTAGTAGTTAAAGCTGTATGTCATCTTGGTTGGGCCTGGTTGAGTGGCTGGGCAGCTGGTGGGAGTTATTCCCCATGATGAGACTGGCAGTCAACTCCATGGTGGGATCTACCACAAGCAGCTGAGTAGCCGCTTTGGGTATGTGGTTTGCTTCCCTTATATAAGAAGCAGCTTTGGGAATGGTCTCTAGCTTATGGCATGCTGGACGCTGCATGTAGCTCTGTCGTTATTCAGCAGCCCGCCATGCTCTGCTGACCTTGGGACTTACAATGGTCTTGAGTTAATGGTGTGCTGTGTAGTTTGGTAACATTGGGACTGTGCTTTTTGCTTTGTCAACCTTGGGCTTGTCAGTCTCAGCAGCCAGTAGCTGTCTGAGTGAAGAAAAGCCTCTAGCTCCAGTGGGCCGGGAGCAGGAGGCAGAGCTGAACCCCAAGGTTAAGGGGCTTTCACCCAGCCCCTAGAGACTGGCACTTTAAACTTGCACTTAAAGCCTCCAAATTGTAAAAATAAACTCCTATTTGATAAGGCCATCCCATTTGTGGTATATTCTCATCAGAGCAGCACTAAATAACCAGAACAGCAGAATCCTGAAGAATTTCATTTAAATTCTGAAACTTATTACCAACCCCAGTATAATGGCAATTTCAACTTCTAGATATTGGGAGTTTTCTTAGGTTGAGAGAAAGAGTCATCAAGACCCTATTTTGCTGAGTCTGGAACAGATGTAATGTGTGTGGGCCTTGCCTTCCTCTAATCACCCGAAAGAATTTAAAATTCTATCACTTAATCAGGCAGTTCAGCATATCATTTCATATATCTTACTGCTTTCTTGGTGAAGTAGATGATGGTAGGCAGGATTATTGGCATTTTAGCAATGTGAGGAAAAGTGAGGAAGTTTATTGCCTTACCTACCCACTGTAACAAGTCAATGCAAATTATTAACCAAAGGAGGAGTCTTTCTGAACATCCAGATTGTAGCTTTATAGAAGTAGTGCAGTTAACCAGAATTTGAGGAGATTTGTAAGAAAGATTATGAGTTCAGTTTCCACATGCTGACTTTGAGGTATATACGGTGTATGTTGTTGTTGTTAGGTGCCTTCAAGTTGGTTTCAACTCATAGCAACCCAGTGGACAATGTGACCCAGTGTATAATTGAACAAAACACTGCCCTGTCCTGTGCCATTCTCACAGTCATTGCCTTGCTTGTGCCCATTATTGCAGCCAGTGTGTCATTCCATCTCGTTGAGGGTCTTCCCGTTCCACTGACCTGCTACTTTACCAAGCATAATATCCTTCTTCAGGGATTGGTCCCTCCTGATAGCATGACCAAAGTATGAGAGACAAAGTCTGGCCATTCTTGCTTTTAAGGAGGAGCATTCCAGCTGTCCTTCCTGAAAGACAGATTTCGTTCTTCTGGCAGTCCATGGTATATTCAGTATTCTTTCCCAGCACCGCAATTAAATGGCATCAGTTCTTCTGTGGCTTTCTTATTCACTGTCCCACCTTCACATGCATATGAGGCTATTGAAAAGAATGGCTTGAGTCAGGTGCACCTTAGTTTTCAAAGTGACATCTTTGTTCTTTCAAGAAGTTTTTTGCAGCACATTTACCTAATGAATTACATTGTTTGATTTCTTGACTGTTGCTTCCATGGGCATTGATTATGGATCCAAGTAAAATAAGATACTGAACAACTTCTATTTTTTCCTCCATTTGAAGGCTGGTGTTTAAAACCCACCAGCCACTCCTTGGAAGGAAGGTTGGGCAATCTACTTCCATAGTGATACTGCCTCGGAAACCCAAGTAGGGGTCGCTGTGAGCCAGATCTGACTTGATGGCAGTGAGTTTGGTTTGTTTGGTGACAGGTAATGTAGTTACATTCTGAAACAGGGTCCACTAGTGATTATTCTTTTAATTACTTTCTAACCTTTGGATACAGGCTTTAATTGCTGTCTCCAAAGTGGATTGATGAGGGGACTAATTAATTACACAGTCTGACTGCTAACCAGGAGGCTGGTGGTTCAAACCCCCAGCCACTCCTCGGAAGGAAGATGGGGCAATCTACTTACGTAGTGATACTGCCTCGGAAACCCAAGGAGGGGTCGCTATGAGTCGGGTCCAACTCGATGGCACATAATAACAACAACAACAACATCTAGGGAATAAGTATATTGCAAACCAAACCTACTGCCAAAGTCTTCTGACTCATGGGACAGAGTAGAACTGCCCCGTAGGGTTTCGAAGGCTATAAATCTTTACAGAACCAAACTGCCTTATCGTTCTTTCATGGAGCAGCTGGTAAGTTCAAACTGCGGACCTTTTGGTTTAAAAAAAAACCGAAAAACTCAATGCCATCGAGTCGATCCTGATTCATAGTGACCCCTCCTTGGGAGCTCTGGTAGCATAGTGGCTAAGACACTTGACTGCTAACCAGAAGGGTGGAGGTTCAAACGCACCAGCCACTCCTCAGAAGGAAGGCGGGGCAATCTACTTCCGTAGTGATACTGCCTCGGAAACCCAAGGAGGGGTCGCTATGTGTTGGGTCCGACTCGATGGCATATAACAACAACAACAGTCTCTATGGAAGTAGATTGCCCAGTCTTCCTTCCAAGGAGTGTCTGGTGGGTTTGAACTGCCAGCCTTCTGGTTAGCAGTCAAATGCCTTAGGCACTACACCACCAGAGCTCCCTGTGATGTTTTGCTGTTGTTGGTTTGTTGTCATGTACCGTCAAGTCGGACCCGACTCTTAGCGACCCCTCCTTGGGTTTCTGAGCAATATCACTATGGAAGTAGATTGCCCAACCTTTCTTCCAAGAAGTGCCTGGTGAGTTTGAACCACCAGCCTTCTGGTGAGCAGTCAAATGCCTTAGGCAGTATGCTGCCAGAGCTCCCTGTGATGTTTTAGCCCCTGTGAAATTAGAATTTGTTGTATTTACCTTCAAATAAATTACTGACAGGACGATAATCACTAACATCTTTAGGCATTTACATTTTCGACAGGATTTTTCTTTAGAAATAAGACTAAGCCTCTGTGGGTAAAGAGCAGAGTCCTTTTAGTGAAGCTGTGGTTAAAAGGATAGATCAACTTTCTTACCAATGAAGATAGCTATTATATAGTTTTTTGGGATGATGGTGATATATAGAGGACATGACTTGGCTAAAACTAGATGTTAATAATCTGTGCTAATGGCTTAATGATGTTCTAGAATGTCACTTCATAGAAGTATTGCTGTTCAATAAATGCCAAAATCAGATACACACCTAGTCATTTCAGTATTTTTAGTTCTCTGATGCTTTATCTTCTGCAGTGTGCCAGCAGCATTAAAAGCCAAGCCCCATTTGTTTCTTGAGTATATCATGCCAGATTCCTTTAACTGAGGTAGAAAGTTTTCCCAATAGTTTTTAAGGTCCTCAGTCATTTAAATTTCTTATATACCATCTCCTCTGTCAGAGAATTCTTTCCTTTTGACGGCATATGTTCATAATATATGCACCAGTTGGAACTGAATCCCTGCCAAAAGGGGGAAAAGAATTACCTGTGCTTTGAAGCAAAAGGAAAGGCCCAGAGAGCACTTTGGCAGTTTTAACTGCCAGGAAGACAGATTATTTCACAGCTGGTGCCTGGGAAACCCATTAGGACATCTTGGGGAGACCAAATGAATGTACTTTGAAAATAGCCCAGTGGCATTATGTGAAGACAAGCTGTTACTGCACAATGATATAAAAATAGAGGAGTCAAATTTATCTGAAGGTGAGAAATCAGTCATTTAAACCAGAAAACTGCTGGTAAACCAAAGGTGTCAAACATTCTGTCACTTAAATGAGAAAACCTAGAGGAAAAATTGAAATATTGAAGCTGTCAGTTCGCTAAAAGAAACATTCCTAATTATATAGGATCTGGGATAGTGTACAGGCACAGATTTGTATCATTTGGCTCTTACTCCAAGTGACATTTGGAAGGGATTATCTTAACTTTGCTGTAAATGTTGTTAAGTAAAATATAGTCATCAGTTTGGGAAGGTGTGAATTTCCTTGGTGGGACCGTTAGGCTAAAAGGAGTTAGAGTTGTGGTAGGGGATAGGAGCATGTCTCATTTTGACAACAGCTCAGACACTTCTAAGCTACTTTTTGTATGTAGAAGTGTATGGGTTGATATTGCTTCAGAACAGGTAGTAATTACCATTTGTTGTTGTTGTTGTTATGTGCCATCGAGTCGGCGGCCCCGATTCATATTTACAGAGATGCATTTCTCCATGAGAGTTGGATGGGTCTTTGGTCATTCTCACTCATAATATACTTTTTAAAAATGTTGTTGTTGTTGTTGTGTGCCGTCGAGTCAGCCCTGACTCATAGCGACCCCTCCTTGGGTTTCCGAGGCAGTATCACTACGAAAGTAGGATTGCCCAACCTTCCTTCCGAGAGTGGTCAGAAAATGAAGGGATTAAGTGTACATCTTCCTGTGAAATGGACTGAAAGTAGAATTGCAAATGGAGAAGATGAAAT